GGTTCCACAGATGCTAAATGTCATCACCTTGCTCAAACGGCCCTTGCCTTTGTGAGCCCAGACAGCGAGAGTTGTCAGGGAGGTTATTCAAGTTTCCGAGCAGAAAGAGGGTCGATTCCAGCGGCGCCAGAAGTTTTCTTCTCTTTCCTCCTCCACCAACCGACCGCTCTTTCCCCTCGCACGACGCTTGATCTGTACGCTCGCCTGAGTCGTGCCCAAGTCCTTTTCAAGAGTTTATATTTCTACGCAAGTTTGACGCAACTCATACTTCGCAGAAGTCATGTTAAGTATGTGGTCCCGGCAAATGCGATGTATGTGAGGTTCACTGTATGTTATTATAATGCTTGTTTGCCCTGTGGTATAGTGCTTGCGAAGCACAGACGTCTTAGGCGTAGAGCTGCCTCAATACTCCATGAGCACTTGATGTCGCAGCAGATTACACTCTTGAGAAATTGCAGGATTGAATGTTACAGATTTGGATGTTTACACAAAAGTATTTCTGAACGGTGGTCTTTTGCACAAGATGGATGGGTGGATGTTTCCGCTGGTGATGGAATCAACTCCTGCAGGGTTCTCTCTGCCTCTCTTAAGGAACCCCCCCCCTGTTTTGGACGGTGATACCAGCAGACTGTTTAAATTCCCAGGAGACCTTAGCCTATACCTTCTGTCAACCGCCAGTTATTCTTTACACCGCAGTATTTTTGAATATATCATTTCGCAAGCTTCCCCATTTGCCAACCTTTAGTACAGTGGGATTTACAAAGATGGGAAAGATCAAAGGAGGCTTTCCGCATCGAATGCAATCTTGTAAAATCTGCAAAACTAAGTAATTACTTGCAGTAATAATAATAATAATCCATGCATTTGATACAGCACCTTATCACGTCTTCGAGACGTCTCAAAGCGCTTCACAGGATAATAATAATAATAATAATAATCCTTGCATTTGATATAGCGCTTTTCACGTCGGGAGGACGTCCCAAATCGCTTCACAGAACACACTGTAAAGTGAATTGACTGTATATTTTGTGGGCGAAACGCGGCAGCCAATTGCGCACAGCAGCGTCCCCACAAACAGTCGTTGATTGAGCGACCAAGTAATTCAAAAAAAATTTGGAGGGATTATTATACCCGGAAAAGCCATCCGCCAGTCGACTAACAACCGGGCTCCTACTTACTGCTGGTTAAACAGAGGTGTGCGGTGCGGAGAAAGGAAAATTGCCGAACGGCAGTATATAAAGCTGGTGTCCTTTCTCCTCCGCCCTGTTTGAGATAAGGAGTCATGCCAGGGTTTCAGTTTTATTGGCAATGTGACAGCTATCCAGCACCTGACCCTATTGGACATTTTCCGCATGTGAGAGTAAACCTTGACTGTGTTGGCAGCTTAAGCTGGTTCTGTTCCCTTTGGGGATATCACAGCTGAGCCAAAGTCTGTCTGCATATGTGCACTTTCCAGCCGAGGTCACTCAATAGCGATCAGGAGAACGGACGTGGCAGATTGTTTTGAGTTTCTCTCTCTTTCTCTCTCTCTCTCTCTCTCCCCGCCCTCCCTAGCTAGTCACCGGCCCTGCAATATGCAGACTCGGTCCAGAATAAGTAATAGTAATAATAATAATAATAATCCTTGCATTTGATGTAGCGTCTTATCACACGTTTGAGACGTCTCAAAGTGCTTCACAGTACAGTGAATTGACTGTACACTTTGTGGGGGCGAAAATACAGTAATAAATACAAAAGAGTAGGTCTGCTTTTGTACCGTTTCCCTTGAATTCCCACTTGGAGCCTGAAGGATACCCTGACCAGCTGGGTATGTGAACTAGCTCGCTTACGTGTACACGCCTTTTATTAAGGGGCTCCCTTAAGCTCAACGTGTCTCTCTCTCTCTCTCTCTCTCGCTCACTCTCTGTTCTGGTTCCTCCATTACAGAGTCTCAGTTTTGAGGAGATCACAGTGTGTGTCTGCTGTTTAAACTGCAGGCTCAGCCAGTGAGCGAGTGGTGTGGAGAATGTGCGTACGGGCCCTTAAGCAGCAGAGAGAGAGAAAGAGAGAGAGAGAAAAGGGCTTTTGTTGCAAATCTCCCCCATTACTATGGCAATAACTAGGCTGCTGGGTTGCTTACGCTGGTTTCATGCCAATTGCATTTTTTTTACACCAGGCAACTTAACCAATGACTGGGGGAATGGTGTTTTTTTTTCATACTTATGTCAACCTTTATGCGCCGGTTGAGTTTGTACTTGCACTGCGTTTCATCTGGGTGTAAACGGTGCATTAGCGAGACCGCTAGCATCGGGAAATAATTGTTTGCCACAGTTCTTGCCTTTGTTGTTCTCGTCTCCTGAAGACACCCGACGGGTTCGTTGTGGGTCCAGCTAAGGGTCCGTGGGCACCGACACCTTTTCAGGTCATTCTTCACACCTGAGTCTGGACGAGAAAGCCCTACTTGACCAAATTTTTTTGTGGCGGGGGGGGGAGGGAGAGAGAGGGGTTAAGAAATGGTAACTGGGTAAGCAAAGGTAGGTTTAAAGGCGGAGAGGGTGGGTCGAATGGCTGAAAGTTTGTTCGCCGGTGGTGGACTGATGGGGCGAGGGAGAACGCGGAGTGCACAGGCACGAGGGAAAAGAGCTGTTCGCGGCGGCTAGAGTTCTCCCTGCGCAAAATTTCTCCTTTTAAGTTTAACGTTCCTCGAGAGGCGGAAATGTAGACAAGGTAGCGGAGGGGTTAGCGCAGGATTTGCCTCGGAACAAAAGCAGAGTCGAGAACGAGAAAGGGGTGGAAACGAAAACGCTCGCCAGTCAACGAGAAAGATGTAATTACGTGGGGATCCCGAATCCCAGATGGGAAATAAATAGGAATGGTTTATCGGAGGGTTTTTGTTTTCTTCTTCTTCTTCCTTCTTCCCGGATCCGATACGTGTCTGCGATGCCGCTGGCACTAAGTCGGCCTGTGCCTACGGCAAATTGGCAAAGCTTTTTGCAACAGGGTAGCTTGGGCAGATGGGTCACTTTTAACGCTGCATTACTGGGCCAAGGTACATGACAAGTTTAATACATCGGTGGAAACGTGAAGCGCCACACTTCTAAATCATTTTTGATTCTAGTAATGCTCCTTCAGCGTGATGCGTTCTACGAACTGTGGGGTGTGGGGTGGAAGTAGCGCTTAGAGAAGTGCCGTATAATTCGAGGACATTTTTTTTTTAAAAAAAGCAATTATTTCAGAGACTTTGGTGAGGTTTTGCAGCGCATATCTGTCACGGTGTAAGTTTCGGTATTTTTTTTTTCACAAACAAAAACGCCCCCATCAAATTCCCGTACTGATTTCTCCGCACCCAACGATCACAATTTTTTTTTATTGGCCGGTCGGGGAGTTTTGTGCAGGTGGTGGATTCAGTCGAATTCGTTTCATTGCCCCAGTTTATATTATTGCTGCTTAAAACATTTTTTCCTCCCAATCTCCCCCCCCCACCCAAAAAAAAAAGTCCCGCAATGAGTGACGTGTGTCTGTGATTCATGTTAATTTCCCCAAAGCCGACTTACACTTTCTCAATGTGTTTCCTTTGTGCTTGTTGATCAAATCAGCCAATTGGAACTTCCATTCATCTCTGTCTGTCATTGATCAATGGCAAGAGAGCGAGCTGAATGCGTGATTGTGAACAATTCTCCGTTCTTAGGCTCTCACGTCCTTCTTTTTCTCTCTCTCTCTCTCTCTCTCAGGGGTGGGGAGGAGGAGGAGGAGGAGGAGGAGGGGGGAGGTGAGGGGTAATAATTTTTAGTTGCGTTTTTCTTGGAGCCATTTATCCACCCTCCTCCCCTTTATTCTCCTTGAAAGCCACGGTTAAATACATTTTTAAAAAGTTGGCGGGGTCCTTCTGTGTTGTCTGCTTGATCCCCAGTGTGTGTTGACAGCTCCTCCTTCTGCATTTCATTCTCTTTTGCTTTCTCCCCCCCCCCCCCCCCCCCCCCCCTCCCCATCACCACCTGCTGTCTTGGCTAGTCCCCTGGTGTGGCTCGAAAGGGTTCCTCTGGCTCCTCTCTCGGCTTCCAGTATGTTGGGAAATCTCAGAGGCTGCTTACAGCCTTGGAGCTCTGTTCAGTGGAATGGAAGAACGTCATTCACTGCAAGGCATGGTTACACCGTAATGCATAGTGTGAGGGCGCATTTAACGTGCAGTCAAGGACCAGGCGTTTGCCAAATGTAATCTGTGAAACATGACGCTGCGAGCATTAACCCTCGTGTTCCTCTGCATTTCCTTTTGTTTAACTTTTTTCCGTGCGCATCGCTTTTGCCCTGCAATTTGTATGTAAATCTGTGCGTTGCTGTGGACGTTTTTTTTAATAAGAGAAATGTTTTAGGTAAGATCGAGATCCTGTGCAGTAATTCTAATGCGGACTCGAAGGCGCCTTAAACTGCCATCGCTCGTTCAGATCGAGTGGGAATGCGTTGGGTTAAGGCGGTCGAGTATTGATGGGTATTGAGCCTTGGGGAATTGGTGCATCATTTACAAATTAGATCAATTCTGTAAATATTTTCCGTGTTAGACGCAGGCGGTTTTCTTTTTCTTTTACAGTTCTCGTGACCCCTGTCATGCATTTCTGCGAATAATTTTGTCATTGACGTCGAATCAAATGAATTTTGACAGTGTTGCAGACAAAAACAAAATCGGAAGGATCTCGTAATAGTCCCAAAGTTTCTGCCCGTTCGTAACTACAGAAAGGCAATCCTCAGTCAAGTGGATATCTGCGAGCGTGTCGAGGAGATTTCTAGCGACGGAAATGCGAGTTAGCTGTCGCCCAAAAGCACTGTTTTAAATAGTACAGCCCCTGCTTTGCTGTGATACAAGGGACTTTGTTTGCTTTAATCATCTCAGCCTGTCATTCAATGAATTGAACACTTTGGACTCTGAACGTGATAGATGTCTTTAGCTTGAGGGAGAGGGGCTGGGTGCAATGCAATGTAAAGCGGTGCTTTGTACTAAAAAGGTGCCTTGTGGTTCAATTTTTCAGAGTTGTGGGGTTTGCGTGTCTGTGACATGGAATCCTGAAGGTTCCCAGTGACGTCTATCATGGGGATGCAGAGCTCTGACCATTGTTCACTGAGATGGTATTTTCCCACACCTCGACCTGTCTGTTGTTGGAAGAAGATTTGAGAATGTCAAAGTAAGCAAATGCTGCCACTTTCTGTCTTATTACTCAGCCAGGCCTTTTCCATTACTTTACTCGACACCAGCATTACATTTCTAGAGCACCTTTCACGTCGGGAGGACGTCCCAAGAGGCTGAAATAAGAAACCTGAGTTTCAGCCTTCTATTCATTGATGCTGCTCCGAATTACTATAGTGATAATAGCCTTTGCATTTGTTATAGCGCCCGATCACGTCTTCGAGACGTCTCAAAGCGCTTCAAAGGATATACTGTCAAGTACATTGACCGGATATTTTATGGGCAAAAAATACACTGTAAAAATACACTGTAAAGTGACTATGCCGTGCTTCTTACTGTATAATAAACACAGCACAGTCACTGGGACTTTTTGCGTTTCAACCTTTTAGCATAGAGTTGCAATACGGCAGCTTTTCCCTGTTAACGGATTACACCTTGAGGTTTAAGAAGGTGTTAAACGGTATTTTGTTGTTTTGCTCCGTATATTTATTTTATCACATAACAACAACAAAATCATATTTGTATAGGGGATTTCACGTCGGGAGGACGTCCCAAGGCGCTGGACAATCGGTGTTTCGGACCCGAGCTGGGGGTCGTTATCGGGGAGGGTGGAGGGCAGGGGTGAAGGAGGGTGACCGAAGGCACGGTCGAAGAGGAAGCCACAATAGCTCCTCCGAATCCACAGCCGAATGTCTCCGCCAGCCAGAAACTAAGCGCGTGGCCTAGCTTCAGTGATGTCAGGGTTGACACTGGGACTGGGGTGGGTAGGGGGGGGGGTAAAGGCCCCATTTCTGTTGCAACCTAGACTATTTTTTTTTCAATTGAAACTGCACGTTTTGTTCAGAAGGTTAATTTTCTTCCCCCCTCCCCTCGCTCTCCATTCCCGTTTTCCCGCAGGTTAAAGCAGTGCAGCAAGTGGTCGAGGATACTACAACCGGAATATTTCTGAGAGCTTTCGAGAGCCATGGATAGGTGTAAGCATGTTGGGCGCCTGCGACTTGCCCAGAACCACTCCATATTGAATCCCCAGAAGTGGCATTGCGTGGACTGCAACACTACCGAGTCAGTGTGGGCCTGTCTGAAGTGCTCACACGTGGCTTGTGGACGCTACATAGCAGAGCACGCACTAAAACACTTCGAGGACACCAGGCATCCATTGGCCATGGAAGTCAACGAACTCTATGTCTTCTGTTACCTCTGTGACGACTACGTGCTGAACGACAACGCCACGGGGGACCTGAAACTGCTGAGGAGCACGCTGAGCGCGATAAAGAACCAAAAGTACAGCCCGACCGCCTGCAACGGCAGGGCGATGCGCTCGATGGCCTGTGGGGAATCTCCTTTGTTTCAGAAGAGCAGAAGAGGACAGCCCCAGCACAGCACAGAGCAGATGTTCACCGCTCTGTGGCACAGGCGCCAGTCTCTCCTCGCGAAGGCCATGCGGGTCTGGTTCCACCAAACCGCCAGCGGCAAGCGGAGGCTGGAGGAGAAGCGGCTGGAGGAGGAGCTGGAGAGGAGGAGGGAGGAAGCCAGGAAACGCCGGCAGGAACTCAAGCGCAGGTTCATGGAGGAACTGGCTAACACTCCGCCCAGGAAGAGCGCCCGGCTCCTGTTCCAGATCCGGAAGGAGGAATTCGCCCCAAGGAAGTGCAGAAAGGTCAGTGGCAAGAAGGTGCTACAATCTCCCCCTACCTCAAAACGACCCAGGAACAAAATGAAACGCTTTCACAGCGCCAGGCGCAAACCGGCGGTAACCCCGGGCGTGACTGGGCTGAGGAACCTCGGGAATACCTGCTACATGAACTCCATCCTGCAGGTGCTCAGCCACCTGCAGAAGTTCCGGGAATGTTTCCTCACCCTCGATCTCTGCGAGACCGAGGAGCTGCTGGCGAGGACCGCCAACGGCAAGACCCGGCTGTCCAACAGGTTGACGCTGGGGATCGGGCCCGCGGCTTATCTCACGGGGAAGAGCGACAGTGTGGGCGCTTCTTTGGGGCGGTGCAGTATGGCCGCTGGCCTGAATGGGGGCGCCTCCATGGCCAGGAACTTGGAACTCATCCAGCCCAAGGAGCCGAGCTCGAAGCACATCTCCCTCTGCCACGAACTTCACACCCTCTTCCGGGTCATGTGGTCCGGGAAGTGGGCGCTTGTGTCTCCGTTTGCCATGTTGCACTCCGTGTGGAGCCTGATCCCCGCCTTCCGGGGTTACGGCCAGCAGGACGCTCAGGAATTTCTCTGCGAGCTACTGGACAAGGTGCAGCAGGAGCTGGAGTCGGAGGGCACCAAGCATCGGATCCTCATCCCGTTTTCCCAGAGGAAGCTCACCAAGCAGGTTCTCAAGGTGGTGAACACCATCTTTCACGGACAGCTGCTCAGTCAGGTAATCGCAAAACGCCGGCTTATTTTAATTCCGGCAGTCCCAGCGGTTAGGGCACTCGCCTCCGCGAGCGAGAGGACCCGGGTTCGATTCCTGGGCACGGTGAAACGTTGGGCAAGTTTCCTTACTCCGCGCGCACACGCCCACACGCCTCGGTCTGCCGAGCAGTAAGCAGGAACTAACCCGGTGGTTAGTCGATTGGCGGATCGCTTCCCTTGGTTAATGATCCTTTTTCAATAAAAGGGGATCACTTAATCCACAGCTGTTTGTGGGACAGCGCGATTGGCTGCCCTCTTGCGCCCACAAATATAAAATTCATTCGCGTTACGGTATGTATCCTGTGCAGCGCTTTGAGACGTCGCGAAGACGTGATAAGGCGCGACATCAAACACAGTATTTTTTTTTACTGTAGTGGGAATGGATAAGCGATTTGAATCGCCGTGTGAACCGCTGTGCCACTTGGGGGGGGAGAGTGGGGGCGTATTTATTTTGCGCTCATTGCTGTGAAAGACATGGGGGGTAGACCAGGGCAGTGGGTCTTAGCAAGGTATTTAAAGCGTATTTTGTATTTTAACAAGAATCTGGACTCTCGTTGAGGTGGAGACGGGTTAATGTTTTAATGGTTTGCTCAGTAAAACCCAAAGTTTTAATGGAAGTGGTTAATCTGAGTTGTCACTTGGAGGTTTCCTGCACATCTCTCGGTAGCGTTTCTCTTGACTCTCGCGTCATTGTTCTGGTCGTAGAGCCAGCTTGGAAATGGGAACATTGTGTAGAAGGACCTTTGAATGACATCGGGTCACAGCCCACTGCCCCTATTCACCGTCTCATCGGAACAGAGGCTGATCATTGAAGGGAGTTTGGGTGGGTGAGGGGGGGGAACGAGGGGAAGGGATGTGGTGGCCTTTTTATACAAAGGTAGAGAGGACTGTGATGGGGAGGCGTGAGCGAGCTCTGTGGTTTTCTGTCCCACAAACAAAGTGACTAGTTAAGCCGTTCAGCAGTCGTCAGTGACACAGCTGGGCTATGATTTGTGTTCCAAAACCTAACCCTTCACCTCTCTCCCCCGCTCCCCCCACCTCTCTCCCCCGCTCCCCCCACATCCCTCCCCCGCTCCCGCCACATCTCTTCCCCGCTCCCCCCACCTCTCTCCCCGCTCAAAAGATACACATGATCTGTTACTATCATGCAAACGGAAAGTGCGCCTAAAAAGTTAAAGCAACTGCACCTTACGTTTTCTTTAATTGCTGTTTAAAATTACAAATGACATCAATGCAATGAGCGTGGGCTCAAACCGCCGCGTATTACTCCTCTCCCCGAATGAAGGGCGCCATTTAAGCACGTGTCGTCGTCGTCGTGACTTTTAAGACGATAGTTTTAAAGGATAAAGCTCAGAAGCAGCAGTGCGAGGTTCCTCTGATGTGATTGGCTCAGTTGATGGCACTCTCGCCTCTGGGTCAGATGGTCGTGCGTTCAACGTCTATTTTCAGAACTTCAGCTCATTGTCTCTTGTCGACACGTACCCGACTAGTGCAGTACTGTACCGCAAAAAGCACTGCAGTGTCAAGGGTGCCGTCCTGCAAGCGAGACTTTAAGCGGGGGCCTCTCCCCCCGGAGATATATTTTGTGGGTGAAACGCAGCAGACAATTACGCACAGCAGTGTCCCTCGCGCAGTCGTGGATTGAGTGAGCAACTTATTATTACTTTTTGAAGGCATTGGTGCCCTCGGAAAACCGATCAACTTAACAGCCAGATTCCTACTGACCTCCGGGTCAACAGAGGAGTGTAAACGTGCCTTAACGTTTCGCCCTGACCCGGGAATCAAACCCAGGTCCTCTCGCTCGCGAGGCGAGTGCTGTAACCGTTACGCTACGGGAGTCCACCTACCTCACAGCCCTGCAGCTGCTGCTTGTCAGGTAGCGCTTGGAAGAGATGCGAAGGCTGCCTGTGTACCTTCCGGCTTGGTTGGGTTTGCCGTGTGTTGTCGCTGCTCCGGTCGGCTGGCTGGCTGGCCGGCCGGCTGTTTCACATCGCTCTCCGGGCTGTGCAGATCCTCCTCCCGAGATGCACGCGAACGGTTTCCTGTTGTGAAATCTACCCCCCGCCACTTCACGGGGTGTGCAAGTGGCAGCTCCCAGGTACTGCAGAGCTAATTCTGTTTGAAGTGGCGTCACCAGGTTTGCGGGGCGAGTGTTTGATTGCTCGGCAGCAGTGGAGGGCACTTTCTGTGCGGCGAGCACTCGGGTTCCAGAGATCGCTGCTGTTTAGTCCCTAACAATTCATTTCTCTCAGGATAGAGACTGACGTGAATGTCGTCGGCAAATCTCTTCCTCGCTTGGGTCCGGTTTATGACGGCTGCTCGGACTTGCGTTGCTAAGGCATCAGTTGGAGTTTTCACCCAAAAATTATTCAGTCAAATCACTTTACAGTATGTCCTGTGAAGCGCTTTGAGACGTCTCTACCATGTGATCAGGCGCTGTATCAAAAGCAAGGATTATTATTAATATTATTATTTCGCTCTTAGAAACTACCGCATTCATATATCCTGTCTTAACTTGGCCGGGAATGTGATCCGAGAAATCTGATCATTGTTTGATGTCCTGTTTGAGTTCTGTTGCTCAGTGATTAGAGCGTTCCCTCCCAAGCGAGAGACCTGGGTTCGATTCCCGGGCACAACGAAACCTTGAGCGAGTTTCCTTATCCACACGCCTCTGTTTACCTAACAGTAGGTAGGAACCCAATTGTATATTCTGCGAAGCGCTTTGAGACGTCTCAAAGACGTGAAAAGCACTATAACAAATAGCAAGGAATATTACTATATGAATTAATCGTTACTTGATGTACACTCAGCTGTGCCTTGGAGCGATGGGGAACCGTTTCCTTGCTGTATGGATTGAGGGAGAGTTTCTGTCCTCACCTGAACGTTCAGTGGGAGGTGCTGAGTTCAAAGGCAGTAGCAGAGAGGAAGTGTAAGAGGATATACAGTATGCTCACGGACAGACGAATGAACAAGTTCATTGTTTGGGCAGCTCTTATGCAACATCTGGTGGTCAACCCGAGAACAACATTGATGTTCAGACGTGCTCTCCACCACATTCGGTACTTCCAAGCGCCTGTGTGTGGAGCAGCCACATGGCAGGTGTTTTGAGTGCCTTTAAAATGGGAGGGTGGGGGCCGAGCTAACGAGTGGACCTGTTAGTGACTGGAACATGTGTGGTACGGATTTTAAAAGAATCTGGATCAGGAAATTCCTAGACTTTATGGCGTTCCTGAATTAGCTGATCTCAACAGCGACATTGAAACGCTCTGGGTCTCTACACCCGCTTGAAGGGCACCGTACAAACACAAGGTGGTTGTTGCTTGTTGACATGAAAGAGGGTGGTACAATCAGCCTATGTACTTGGGTAATGGAAAAGGACAGCCAGTCAGTCTGCCCGCTCCTGATTTTCTGAGAGGATAGGATTGGGCCTTGCCGATGATGGCTGTTTCTCTGCATCCAGCCTGCACAGTTACGCTCAGATCCTCAGCGCTCTGGGACGTTATCCAACATGAAAGGCACCAGCCAAATGTCATGTGTTATTATTGTTGTTGTGTATTTGTGGACGGGCTTTCGGACATCCTACCCCCCTGCTCTCTCGACTCAATTCCAAAATTATTTCCTGCCACTAACGTAACTACTCCAGCATGTTCCCCCATTCTATGAGACCGTGGCTGATCTGGACTTCAACTCCGGTTAAGAACATAAGAATTTGCCAGGCGAAAGAAAGCCACGGTCTCTCTCGTTCGCCTTCGAACATCCTTGACATGTCGCGTCCCAAACTATCCTGTAACCCTTGATAGCCTGACCTCGCAAAGAAAAGAACTTTCCACCTCCGTCTGGAAGGTTTGAATTGACCGTGTATTGTGTCTTGTCCGTTTTTGACAGGTCACGTGTCTGACATGCAACTACAAATCAAACACCGTCGAACCGTTTTGGGATCTTTCGCTCGAATTTCCTGAGCGTTACCACTGTCTCCAGAAGGGCACTGCCACCCAGCAGAAAGAATGCACTCTGACCGAAATGCTGGCAAAGTTTACAGAAACCGAGGCTTTGGAAGGGAGAATCTACGCCTGTGATCAGTGCAACAGTAAGTCACCCGGCCTTTTTTTTTAAAGGGAGTTACCACTTCTCCAGTTCCCGCTGGCGTAGCTGGAGGTTTGTTTTTCTTCCGTCCGCGCATCTGTCATCCTTTCTCCAAACGGTTTGAAGATCCGTTAAGCCAACTACTCTCTGGTGTCTCAGTGGGGTGGTTGGTTACCGGTCTGCACCGAGCCATAGAGAGAGAGACAGGGAACGAGAGACCCATGTTTTATCCCTGTGCTGTGCTGAATCATCTGATCTCAGCCAGGGCGACAGCTTAGGAACACTTTAGTTAACTCTCAGCATCCTCTGGCTGGTTGTGAAGCGCTTGGAGACATCTCGAAGACATGACGAGGCGCTATATCAAATGCAAGGATTATTATTAATAAAGGTGAGAAGTCACCTACAATTCTAGATTTTACTGGAAGATTTGTGAGTGGGTGCGCTTGTGTTCACAAGATCAGTTTGGATCAAGAGGATCCTTTTGATCTCGTCGTTCCAGTTTGTGTGTGTGTGTGGGGGGGAGTGTGTGTGTGGGAGTGTGCGAGCTCGCTGGAGAGAGACAAGGCACAGGTGGAGAGACCGGTGAGGAAACAGATGTAATTTCATGCAAGATAACAAAACTCACTCTCTGGTCTCAAACATTGGTGAGATAATAGATAACTGGTGGCTTTGAACGATTTCCTTCCCGTCCCCTCCCCAACATGAGTCACCGAGTCACCACCTGCAGTGGGATGAAGGGATAACGTTGGACAGGGTGAGGCCAACAACAAATTACGTTTACACAACGCCTTTCATGTCCCAAGTCACTGGGCAGTCCAGGATTTGGATCCGAGCCGGGGTTTGGGATCAGGAGGGGCTGCAGGGAAGGGGTAGGAGGGTGCCCGGAGATTAACTCCGTGGCTGCAGTGGAAGAATAGAATTTCAACCACAAATACAAAGTCAATTCGCTTTACAGTATATTCTGTGAAGCCCTTTGAGGCGTCTCAGCGGGGTGATAAGGCGCTGTATCAAATGCAGGGATTATTATGAGAAAGTTTTGCATTGACATATTGAAGGGAAACCTGCTTCTGGTGTAATGATTGGAGCTTTTTATTTTTTTTCCCTCCTCGCGGAGTGAAAAGCATTTCCCTTACCTGCTCTTCCCTTGGGCTGTTTGTAGAGGTTGAGGTCCCGTTTTCTCCACTCAGCAAGTTCCCAGTGCTCTTTAAGGTTACGATTGATCAGAAGTTGATTCTTTGTTCTATTGGGTTTGGGCTTGTCCTGGACTCAGGTCCAGGCTTCCTTACCCAGTTCCTGATCTTTCTAACGTCCAATAAAGTTGCTTTCTTTCCCCCACCCCAAAAAAATCAGGTAAACGGCGGAAATCCTCTCCGAAGCCTATTGTCCTGACTGAAGCTCAGAAACAGCTAATGATATACCGACTACCTCAGGTCCTTCGTCTGCACCTTAAACGATTCAGGTAAGATGAACTCGCTGCGGTTTTCAAAGGGACTTTTCCGACCGATCGATCGATCGAGCCCGCCGCCACGTCATGTCACCGTCACATTTTAGCTCGGTCGCGATCATTGCTCATCTCCTTGTCCGTCCCAAAGCCGATCCATTGAATCGTTTTTCCCCCCTGACGAATGGTCTTGTCTGGAGAAATCGCGTTGCAGCCCATTGGACCTGTGCTAATAATAATAATAATAATAATCAAAATAATCATCGTTGCATTTGATATAGCGCCTTCTCACGTTGTTGAGACTTAAGTCGGTGCTAATTGCTCCACGGGAGCACAACACCAACGACATCATGTATATTTTTCCAGCTCCTCCCTACACAAGCCACAGACCATCCAGAACTTTCCAGCTTGTGTCCTCTCCCGAACCTGTCCCCAATAGGAAACGCCACCCACAGTAATAACAGTAATCCTTGCACTTGATGTAGCGTCTCGGAAGCTCTTCGCGGATTATACTGACAAGTGAATGGACTGGGTATTGTGGGCAAAATGTAATTTTTCTTAAAATATAAATATAAACCAAGGCAGACTCATGAACTGGCACATGTCGGGCCTTTGGATCTACGAAACCTCAGCCCCCCCTCCCCCCAGGTTAATAAAGAAACGTGCTTCTAAACAGGATGCTTGACTTCTCCTTCGCGAAGTGAAGTCGGCGCCAGATAGATGTGTTTCTTGTATAACACGAGGATTAAACCGGATCGTCACACAGCCCCGCGCTGAACCCGTGTGCGTTACAATCGGAATCGCTCGTATTTTGGGAAACGCTGAGCGCCGCATTTGTTTGGAGGGGTTTTAAAAAAGCGCTGCCTTTAAGCTGTTCTCTTGTGTAGAGTTTGAAAGGATTTTTTTACAGGGCATTGATGCATTGTGCTCGTGTTCCTTATTTCCTTCTTGATGCAGCTACTGTGTTTTTAGGTGGTCTGGACGCAACCATCGGGAGAAGATAGGGGTGCACGTCAATTTCGACCAGGTATTAAACATGGAGCCTTACTGCTTCAGGGACTCTTCCTCCGCTCTCGACAAAGAGAGTTTCATCTACGACCTCTCAGCTGTGGTGATGCATCACGGAAAGGGATTCGGCTCAGGACACTACACCGCATACTGCTACAACACAGAAGGAGGTCAGTTGTTGTGCCACGACCCTGGAGGTAGATGTGGACAGACTGGAACGGGGTTAGGGCTGGAGGGATGTAGTCCATTCAAAAGCGATCCCCTTTCCCCCAGTTCAACATCGTGCTTTGGCCCCATGTTTAATAATGAGGCGAGCTTAAAAATGGCCTCTCCGTTAACCCGTCTCTCAAAGTTTGTGCGAGCAACAGCTGCATCAATGGAATGTTTAATAACAATAATCCTTGCATTCGATGTGGCGCCTTAAAAGGCATTGAGACGCCTCAAAGCGCTTCATGGGATACACTGCAAAGTGTATATTGTGGGCGAAACGCGGCAGCCAATTGCGCACAGCGATGTCCCACAAACAGTCATATTTGGATTGTGCTTGAATGTATAAGTTGGATTTTTTTTGAAGAAATCGATGTCTTGACGGAAACGTCACAAAGCACTGAAGAGAAACCAACACTTTTTTAATTTCTCTCGTTCTCCTCTTCCCTTTTTTTCTCTCTCTCTCTCAGGTTTTTGGGTCCACTGTAATGACTCTAAACTGAACGTGTGCAGTGTGGAGGAAGTGTGCAAGACGCAGGCCTACATTCTCTTTTACACTCAAAGAACCGTGCAGAGCAAAGTGGGGCTTGTCACAGGAACGCAGACGGAATCTCAGGTGCCAAGCAGAAATACAGACAAGAACAGAAAACTGACCTTCCCCTAAGAAAGGGAGAGGGGGAGGGAGGTGTGACGTTTAAAGCATTATTGGAAGTCATTGAAACAGCCTGGCCAACAGTGACGTGTTGGTGCTGATAACCAGCTTTGTGTTCACTTGTGGGTCACAGAATACCCTGGGGCTCGTTTACGGAAGCATATATAGCTGTTCACATGCATTTTATGGTAGCGTTTAACTCCATACTCGACAATTAAAATGGCTTGTAGGAATTGTCGAGTGACGTTGTCTAGCCGTCCGTCCGTCCGTTCCCCCGCTCAGATGACAGGAGCCTGTGCAGTCCCCGACCTTTACTGAATCGATTCAAACAGTTTGTTCCCCAATAGTCTACAATCCGTCGCAGTAAATTCCTGCCTATGTCCTCACCTCTACATGTTTGCCGCATCTCATCAGGTCAGCTGTGTCTGTCTGTCTGTGTGTGTGTGTGTGTGTGTCCGTCTGGCTCATGTTTTTTTAAAATTCCTAGAAAAAGGTGCCTTGGTTTGCCGTCCATTTCCGTCCACTTGTTTACGTGAGGCCCCGTTGTTTGCTGGCACGGCTGTGTGTTCTCTCTCTCTGTCTCTCTGTCTCTCTCAGCCTCTGCAGTGCCAGGCTGGCTAGAGTTGATTCACTAACCTGTATTCACACGAGCCGGTGACCACCATCGACATTACATTGGTGACCGACTGGAAGTTGACCGACTTATTTTCTTTTCCTCTCTCTCTTTGAGCTCCAGCTCAAGTTACACCAGCTGCGACCTGCTGCCAAACGACAAGATAAATCCCTTTTACCTTTTTTCCTCCCATTTTGTGAATTCCCCTCTCTCCCCTCCACCTCCCCTCCGAGTCTTAAGTAAACTGGGTCTTGGTGACTGCTGCCCTTTGCAGTGCTGACTATCTGCGGTGAGTGTAAATACCACTCAGCGGGCTTGGCTTTGCTGGTAACAAACCAAGCAAGCAGAGCACGAGGTGTTGCCTCTGGATGCCGGGTGGTGGTGCCATAACCGGACACACGAGAGGCCACGGCAGGGTAAATGTTAGTCCCTGCGGTCGTTAGCAACACCGTAAAACCTAAGGGTGACTGCACAGCGCTCGCTCCGTGGTTTCTGATGGGTTCGTAACCCGACAGAGTGCGAATGCAGCAGGGTGCGACTTTCCAACAGCCTTTTCGGTACCTGCCGTGACTTAATCGTTTGCTCGAGATCCGGCCACTGGTTCTCTCGTGTGCGCTGAGGTCATGCGGGGAATGTGCGAACGACAGACGGAGTGCGGAGCTGAGTCCCGCGACCGTGATTATTCCATTGCATCATGGCCTTTTTTTTTAAAAAAAATGTTTTAGTTGTGGCGGCGTTTTCAAAATAAACTCATCACATTTCATTTTATTCGAGGTGCCCTTATGTGTGCAAATCACAACATGTAACTGGGCCTTTTTTTTTTTCTTCTTCTTCTGTTGTTGTTCTGTAATTCAGGGAGCACTGTTTCGATATTTTTAGTTTACTTTCGAAAGATATTTTTAAGCGTTGAGGAATGTAGGAGCGGATTTGCTTGCAGGGCAAGAGTAATAAGCAAGCAATGGCAAACGGTTCAGATGTTCACGTTTATAAAAATGTTTTTTTTCAAAGAAAAAGGATAATTGTCGTTTGTGACGTCCAGATTTATAAGCTTTCATATCGTTTCTCATGATTCCTGACTTGCTTGCAGCACCTACAAAGCCACACACCTCAATCTGCTTCCCGTTCGTTCCTTTCCACCAACCGAGTGACTGAATCCATTGTAAGAATAAGAATAGTAATAATCCTTGCATTCGATACAGCGCCTCATCGCGTCTTCGAGACGTCTCAGAGCGCTTCACAGAATATACTGTCAAGTGAATCGACTGTGTATTTTGTGGGCGAAACGCGGCAGCCAATGCGAACACAAACAGTCGTGGCTTGAGTGATCAAATTATTATTATTGCTATTTTGCGGGAGAGGGAAGGAATTTCTGGGATGTCAAGATTTTTCTGACTCTATAATGTGGACTTCATTAGCTCGGAAAAGCAACCCATTCCATATCGGCTGGAAAACCATTGCCAATGCTTTTATATGATATACAATATATTATATACACGTGTGGCATCAGGAATAGCAGGAAGAGCAATTGGAACCGTATTGACAAGTAACAAATCTCGACCGAATATATATTTTTTTACACAAATTCATTGAAAGTTCTTATTTTAATTACGGTCGAGAAATGCTGCCATGTTTACCGCAGCGCTCAGAAGCTCGGGTTAATGTCTCGTTCAATTCAGCGTGTCTGACCACTTTCCGTCGATGGCAAAAAGCGTGCGTGGAGGAAGCCGCCTGTTTTAATTTGTTGTTCTGCCTTTACATTGTGCGTCTGTTTTCATGAATAACCGTCGGAAGTGACTGGAGCTCATTTTGTTAGCCCCCATTGGCATTGATAACTTTATTTACACATATATATATATAAAACAAAGCATTTAAGTGCATAAGAGCTATATGGGTTTCTGTAAACGAGTCCTGATTGTTCATCTGACGGATAGTTTCACGTCTCCTGTTTGGTTGGAGGTTGCTATTTTCTTTCCTTTCCCCGCAGCAGACTTTATAAAGGCCAAATGTTTTTATGTCGTTTGAGAGTCTTGTCTCCCATCGTTGACAGCGCCAACCAAGGGGGTGCGGAATAAATCCTGGAAAAGAAACTTGTCGGAAAAGTTCAAACGTTTGGTTTCTCGCGGTCGAGAGTTTGATCTGTTCTGTTAAACCAACTTGCCGACCGACAGCTGACTAACTAACTGAACATTTTAGGGGGGGAAAAAAAAAGCATCATCCTGGAAAGTAAGTGCATTGGAAAAGGTCGAACGTGGAAAGAGTAAAGCAAAAGTTGTTGATGTTTTTTACTTCTGCCGCCAATTTAGAATAACATTGAGAGAGAGTGGAGAGCTAAACTTGCCAACTGTAAGGGTTTTTTGTGGTGGTGGGGTGGGGGGGGGTGATGTTGGATTGGGCAGGAGACCCAATTTTCTCCCCTCTGGCACTCTGTCCCACAGGAACCCCTTGTGACCATTCTTTGAGCCCAGAGTGTGAGTGTGTGTGTGTGTGACTGGGAGTCTGTGTGCCTCAGTGGGTGTGTGTGACTGACTCAGTGTGTGTGACTCAGTGTGCGAGTATGACAGTTGAGTGTGTGACTGAGTGTGTGTGATAGGGGCAGAAAGAAAGCCCGGGGAGCCCGAAGAAATAAGGTCAATCCCTAATAAAGTAAATGAGGGTTACTTAATTCCTTACGCACAAAGACAAACTGGAAACCTGAACTCGAGGACGTCAAAGATTCCGCAGTTGATTTCTGTTGTAGGGTATCATTGCTGTGGCTTGTGGATCCCCACACCTTTGGGAGTATAGTTGACGCAAAATTTTTCAGACTTTTTTAAAAAAATGTTTGTCACTTTCCTTGTGTAGTTTCCAGGATTTATTCACACGCCCAACTCTTGATGGCGAGGTTAAGGGCATGTGGGTCCCAGTTCTTCCCAGCTCTGCCCTTCACCTCTCCCTGAATGGTGAGAGACTTAAATACTCTTCAAGGTCACTTGGGACTCCCATCTAATACTTAACGCTTTTAGTTTTGATACCTGTTCTTATTGAAAGTACTTTGGCAAAGTTTAATTGCATCGAACATTTCTATTCTGTCTCTCTCCCCCCACTTCCCTCCTCACCCTCCCATCTTCCCCTTTCTAAATTATTAGTGGATTTAACCCTCTTTTCCCCACAATCCTCCTCAAGCTTTTTTGCTCCTGAAAACATTGGCTCAATTCCACCAACGTGGAGACCAGCTGGACTTCTTCACAAGTGGTCCTTACCCCCGTGCGAGCCTCAACAGTGAGTCTCGGCTGGACACATGATCACGGACAGGGAGGAGATCGCAAGCCAAGGCCTTCCTACCGTCCACACACACACATGCACTTTCCACGTACAGCGATCAAGAGAGTAATCCCTGAATTGTTTCCCTTGTGCCCCCACCCCCAACCCTGAACCTCAGGGCATTGAAGTCAATTGTTATTACCCGCCAGCCAGGCTGAGGCGGGCTGACAAGTGACGAGATGTGTTTTTTTTTTAAAAATTGCCTGTTTGGACATGGTGCCTCAAGTTGCCGTAAATTAAAATAATTGGTACAAATTGTACCTCAAGCTTTTATACACTTGTTGCAGTACCTTTTGATTTCTACGTCAGTATCATGCAAGTTGCACTCTATAAAAAATATGGTGACTGAGGGGGACTCGAGGTTTTTGACTGGAAAAATGTACACTTTTTTTTGAAAATACAGTGTAAAGTCCATCACTTGGTTTCAAAATTGCCTTTGCCTGGATTCAAATGACACAATACTGTGCTTGTGGTGTTGACGTGTCCTGTTAACACTGGGTGTCTGTGAGATACGAAACTGTTCCTTTACCAGCAGATTTTAATAAGAATATACTAGTGTACATTTTTTGTGAACTCATAATGTAATATATTCATCGAAGACTTTGTTTTTTTGTAAAAAAAAAGAAAAAAATCTTTCTTTTGTGCTTTTTTGTTTTTTTTTAAAAAAAAGAGAGAACAATTACTCAGGCCTATTGTTAACTGGTCCAACAGGAGGTAGTGGTCAGATTCCCTCCTAACATTTACTGCCCTACACATCGCAAAGCTCCACTTACACAGGCATGAGATACACAGCTCCGCACTGGTACTGAATGAAGATTTTGGTGTCCAAAGCAAATTCTTAACACTTTAGTTTACTCAAGTTAAAAAATGCTTTCACGTATTTCATTTTCCCCGATGGTAGGTTTTAATATAATAATATTTGCATTTGATATAGCGCCTTATCCACGTTGTTGAGACACTTCTCAGTCTCAAGCGCTTCACAGAATGTACTGTAAAGTGAGTTGACTGTATATTTTGTGGGCAAAACTTTGTATCCGCATTTGTCGATGGGGGGAATAAAATATGCAGCTTTGTCTGGGGAGTTGCAACAATTGATTTGCAGGAAATTTAAATAGCGCCTTTCACGTCGGGAGGACATCCCAAAGCGATTTTTGAAACAATCCCCACTACAATTGGGGTGCTTCAGGCAGTTGTATCCCTGAGCTAAATCTAAGGAACTTAATTATAAAGTTATCATTCGGTTTCCTAAGGGATTATGGTACGTTTAACTACCTGGGATCTGAAGCTGCATACACACGGGTGTGCAGCAACAAACACCTATTCACAACACTACACAGAGTGAGTGTGCTGTGTTGGGGAATGAGTTACACACAGATTTAATCTGGGGGAATTCATAGCCCTGCAATATAAAACTACGGCAGACAATTAGATATTAAATTCCGATAGACCTCATTATAAAGACTTACAAATTGTCCCAGAAAAAACTTTTTTTTTAAAACGTTGAACCAGCTGCATTCTGTGTCGATTCTAATTTATCTTATTCCCCCGCAGACACACTAACACACACACACACACACAAAAATGCCTGTGTAATTGGGGCTGAAGAATGGTCCATCGGTTCAGTTTGTTCAAAAGTGATGTTAAGCACACGCATGATCATGTTCTGTTTGAAATAAAACGTTTCTAGCTCGTGCCAGGAGCTTGTTGAAGGCATGTGATAGCGAGGCGAGATCTGTATTGTTACGTTGAATGTTCAGTAGTGGGTTTTAAATGTTAGATTTAGGGCACTTTGTTCGTGTGTTTTAGCGAATGTGGTTTGGTAATTGAGAATACGGCACATTGAATCAGGGTCCATTTCCTGTGACTGTCTTGCCATGTCGAAATCGATCTGGATTTCATCTTCTGTGATTTGATTTTTTTTTTAAACAAATGAATAGAAGAAAAATGATTTTTCTAAGCTTTTTTGTCTTTCTACGCCTATCGTTTTGTAAGTTAGTTCCTAATAAAGAAAAAAAAACAAAATAAAAAGAGTACAACTTTAGAATTTAACAGGCATGTGATGATCATCTTATTTTTAAACCCCTTCAATTTCCGCCTTGGGTTTCTGAAGCAGGTTTCCGTGGAGGGGATATTGTTCCCCAAGTATTATTGGGGGCTTTTGTAGATTGTTATAATAATGATGATAAGCCTTGTGTTTGACATAGCGCCTTATCACATCGTTGAGACGTCTCAATGCCCTTCACAGGATACACTGTAAAGAGGATTGACCTTAGGGTATTTTGTGGCCAACGCAATTGCGCACAGCCTGTTAGCTGATCTCTGTCTGCCCAGGGAATAAAGCAGCAAGCAAAGTCAACTGTTGGCAGTCATTCCAGGTTTTATTTATAATCTGCTCCTTGTCATACGTAACAAAATCGAATACATAATAATAATAGTTTAATTCTGTACACCGGCAGTCTGCTTCACTCCTTTCCGCCCAAGACGAATGTTCACACCCCCCTGGGTCAGCAGTGAGGCACTGTAGTTGAGTCCAGCTATTGCTAGCTACGATGTGAGGTTCTGCGTCAATCTGTAAGTGCAGAAGACAGAATCATCGGCGTGAACTAAACATACGACCTTCTGGGCTGTGCGTGTTTGTCAGGAGCACAAATAGCGCTTTGGCCACAGACAAAACAGATGCTTAATTTTCAGAGAAATATTTGCGTCAAAATAGTTGTGTCTGCAATCAGATAAGGCAACCGAGAGGAACGAAGCTCTGAAATCCAGACTTTGTGCAGACTATCAACTGTTTCAAAGTAAAAGTGGTCTGATGACAATGTTACTGTTAAATACTAGTCCGAGAAGATTTCTCCGACGCCTCTCAGCTGGTTTATCCAGCGAGAAGCTGAGCCATTCAGACCAGCAAGATGGTTTGTCAGCTGTTAGCTGGTCTCTCAGCCTCAACAAAACGCCAACAATTTGTTTCAGTGCTCCTGATTAGATTGGGAATTGAGATGGGAGAATATCAAGTCGGGCTTCCCATTGTAACTCCTGCAATAATGCATCTGTGGTCGTGTAATTTGTTAACTTACACACTAACAATCACCACTTGGGGGTGAGGGAGAGAGGTACCGGAAGCTGACAGGCACAAGCAGAGCCTAGGAGAAAAGTAATCAAAAGTGCTTTCACGGGGGAGAAAAATGTCCAGCTCTGCAGTTTCTCCAACAGCCGCAAGAACTCACCCGAGTCACAGCTACTGAAGAGGTTGAGGTGCCATCAAATCGATATCCGAGAGGTTACGGGCAATCCAAATTCCTACAGCAAACAGCCCGAGGTTGACAACTAGGTTCCTATTTAAAACAGAGGGATAGGAAAAGGATGAGTTGCAATCTATCTGCTGAAAGTATCTTTATATATATATATATAAAATCAGTTTGAAATTGTAACCCTACAAAGTACTGAAGTAAAAATAATTGAGCGAGTGTTGATTCGGGTAATTGTTACAGAAAGCCCCGAGTAGGAATGCCAAAAGATTACAACGTACCGAGCAACATTTATTTATTTTACCATTTGTCTGCCCTCCTCTCCCAAAGACCTTTCGATTTTCTACCAAAGTGCCATCACTGGGCTCCACCGGTACTTGTCACCTGCCCATTATTCAGGTGTGAGCCTTGAGCGTGTAGCGCTTTTGGACGCTACCCTGCTATATACAAGCGCTATATATAAACGCAAGTTGTTATTGTAAATGAAAATGCACGTCGTTGAGTTATTCGGCAAGCTATTTGGAGAATCTTTGGAGAATCCAATCCTGTCCTCGTCAGCTATCCACACGCAATTTGATGTGTTGTTCTCACGTGTAATATTGTCTGTATTGTACTTCCAAGTGAGCAGGAGATTCAGTCTGACGTCTGCAAACCTGACATGAGGTTCATTCTCATAGACAGTTGTATCAAATAACAGTCTACATTTTACAGGCAGTGTCAGTCAGGAACAGAGCGCGGGAGGATTATTATTTTTCTGTTCATGGTCAAATATACGTGAGCTTTCTCATAAAACCGGTGCCGTTAGATAAGTGTGTCGTACTCCCTAAAAATTCTCAAGCGTCAATTGAGTTCCTATCGAGGACACTATTTCATGGTTCTATTGCACTGTGAAAGGATAGGAGGAAATGTCGTTTAATTTGGTATTTAATTGCTCAACAAGCCTTGAGGCTGCATCTGAACGCAGTAGCTATCTTAAAAGTAATTAAATTGCAGTGTTTTTCTAAACCCAAGGTCAAAAGCAGCGACAGCAGATAAGCTCTGTACGATAAGCTAAAGATTAGGTTTCAGGTCAGTCGCTGTTGTGAGTGCAAGTGTTGGCCAGAAATCGGTGAAAGACGAAACCGCCACGAACAAAACAAACTGACCGCAGTCAGCGTGAGCTCCCCACCCTGAGGGAAGAGGTGGCAGTAAGCTTCCAAAACACCGCTCGACTACAACAACTTGCATTTACATCGCGCCGGACGGGACGGCGTCTCGGAGCGCTTAAAGCCAGTTACCCGGATCACATCAAACGGTAGGCTGAGTCCTGAAAGTATATCATTGTCTTCTCTCGTGGCCGATCCCGACAGCACTCGCGTCTCAACGCTGATTCCCACCGTTCCAATTAATCCACATATCCAGTCAACTCACGCGAGGCCGAGGCCGCTCCACCACCATCACCCCCCACCCACCCACCATCACCCCCCCATCCACCCACCATCACCCCCCCACCCACCCACCATCACGCCCCCACCCACCCACCCTCACCCCCCCACCCACCCACCATCACCCCCCACCATCACCCCCCACCCCCCACCATCACCCCCCCACCCACCCACCATCAACCCCCACCCACCCACCATCACCCCCCACCCACCCACCATCAACCCCCCACCCACCCACCATCACCCCCCCACCCACCCACCATCACCCCCCCACCCACCCACCATCACCCCCCCACCCACCCACCATCAACCCCCCACCCACCCACCCACCCACCCTCACCCACCATCACCCCCCCACCCACCCACCATCACCCCCCCACCCACCCACCATCAACCCCCCACCCACCATCACGACCCCCTCACCCTTACCCGCCCCCCATCCCCCCCCACAAAATCCCTCCCTCCTTCACCTCCGAAAGTCGTTCTTATCCGTCGCGAAGTTGTAACCGGTTTTAAACAGCTCCAGGAACCGTCTCCTCCTCCCGCCGCCGCCGCCGCCGCCACACACCTCCTTCTTAGGAGCCGCCATTGCTGTCCCTGCAGGCGAACCGGAAACGGAAGTGATGGAGGGAGGGAGAGCAAAAGGGGGTGGAGTCTGAGTGTGACGCAAACCGCACGGTGACTGTGCAGCGCTCGCAAGCGTCCGGCTGAGGAGCAAGAGGGCGGGAACTTTGTGCCCGCGGGACTTTAGTTCCGGCCCTGTACTGTACCTGGAGGATGTGAGTCTCTCCTTTGTTTTGTTTTGTTTCTTCTCTTTCTTTTTGGTGGGTGAGGTGATGTGGGGGGTGGGTGTGATGTGGGGGGGTGATATGGGGGTGGGTGGTGGGTGTGATGGGGGGTGGGTGATGGGGGGGTGGGTGATGGGGGTGATGGGGGGTGGGTGTGATGGGAAGGGGGGTGATGGGAGGGGGGTGGGGGTGCTGTGGGAGGTGATGTGGGTGGTGGGTGTGATGTGGGGGTGATGGGGGTGGTGGGTGTGATGGGGGGGTGATGTGGGGGTGATGTGGGTGGTGGGTGTGATGTGGGGGTGATGGGGGTGGTGGGTGTGATGGGGGGGTGATGTGGGGGTGATGGGGGTGGTGGGTGTGATGTGGGGGTGATGGGGGTGGTGGGTGTGATGGGGGGGTGATGTGGGGGTGATGTGGGTGGTGGGTGTGATGTGGGGGTGATGGGGGTGGTGGGTGTGATGGGGGGGTGATGTGGGGGTGATGGGGGTGGTGGGTGTGATGAGGTGATACCAGACGCCCAGAGAAGTGTTAGTGTTGGGGTTAACCACAAGACACAACAAACAAGGACCAGAGGCAACTTCAGGGAGAGATGCTTCAGGGGGTTGGTGATTTGGGGGGGGAGGGGGTGGGGGGTACTCACTCTGCCCCCAGCCCAGCCCAGCCCAGGCCAGACACCCACAGGTGAGACACCAAACAGAAGGCAAGTTGTTGTTGTTGTTGTTTAAAAGTCCAAAGGTTTTTAAAAGACTGGGTTCTCTCTCACTCTTTTTTCTTTCTCACTCACTCACTCACTCACTCACTCACTCACTCACTCACACTCACACACATTCCCTATTCGATGTCCCTCTCGCCTTTTTTTTAAAATCTATTTAGTTTAGTTCGCTGGTTTAGAAATATGTTTTGGTCAACCGGATGACTTGACGCAAGCGATTTGATTTGAAAACCCCATCACCGCGCTTGAAAGAGCATCCAAACCAGACCGGGAGTGAATGGCCGGGGAAGGGGTGAGGTGGGGGGGGCGGGGGGGGTGTGCGATTGCTGTTGATGACCTGAAGCTCAACACGGAGTCAGCGCGGCGTTCACTTAACACACTTTAATTTCATATATATATATATGAGGTCCAGTAACGTAGCAACAACTAGTGCTGCTCCCAACACTGCACACCAAATGGGAGCACCTTTATACAAAATCGTATCGAGCTATGCGTCAATCAGTAATCACGAGGGGACCCTCTAAACTGGTTGCATTTCGACATAGTCTGCCTCGTGACAGGGTGTCTGTTTTTAGGAGACGATCACTCTGTCTTTCACAATTAGATACAGGTAGAGAAAGGCGACATTTAGAGAATGAGAAAAATGCCGGTGCTGCTAAACGTTATCTGAACCCAGAACCGATTCCAGACACGACTCCAGGATGCGGTCCTGATACCAGACATCTGCTTATCTATCTTAAACAATGCCAATCACGAGCATTCGTGACTAACTTCACGACATCATATTTTTTCACTTAAGGCCAGAGCCCCCTTGGCCTCTTGCCCTTTCGTCTTTAATCCTCATGACTTGCTTAATTTGCCAACTTTGCAGAATGTGCTGAATTCACCTTCCACACCTCCAGCAATTCAGCATCTTTTGGTGGGGTGGGGTGGGGGGCGAGGAAAAGTGGTGACGGAGTTGGCAGAATTCGAGGTTAGAACTAAAAAGGGAGACGGCGGCGCTTGGGTTTGCGAATGTGACGGCGAATTTAACTTGTGTTGACTTGTAGCGACTCGTTGTGCGTGGGACGGGGGGGGGGGGGGTTCAAGATTCGGATAGAGTTGTCGTCTGGATGCTTGAGCTCGGTTTAGTTATCACAACCGCCCGCCCGCCCGCCCGCCCCCACTCACGTTCCCAGACGTCAGACCGAAAATGTACAGAGATTAAATTCGCTTCATGAGCAAGGAAAGCTTAAAAGCCGCACATTTATTCCGTTGGGATACTTTTAAGCACGTGGAGAAGCATGGTTGGTTATTGATTGAATCGACCCTCCTCAGCTCACGTCACTGATTTTTACCAGTGCAAAACTGCTTCTATTCCAAGTCTACATTTGTACACTTCTGGAGACGAGAGCCACACCGCCATCATGACAGTCGGGTTGGTGGGTTGTGATGGAAGGTGTAACCGGATGAGGTGGCTTTAATGAGGGAGAAGGTGCTACCTGGGATGATCCAGGTTTCGATGAAGGAGCGAGGAGATCAATGTTTTTTTCGTTGATAATGAGGTGGACGGCGAGGGCTTTGTTGGAGAGCGAGGACATTTTTTGGGGTGACAGGCGGGGGGAGAGGCGGTGTGGGGCTGGGTTGGGGGCTGGGGAGCGAGGAGGATTGATAGGAAGGTTATCTCTCATCCCACAAAAACGACCTCATTAAAAAAAATGCCTTCTACCCCTGACCGCATCTTGACCACATCTGTAAAAATACACATGAAGATAATAAAAGGAGCTTTGCACCAATAAAAACACTGACATGCGGATAAGGAGGCTCTGACGGTCTCCAATTTCTGACCCAATGCATTGTCACACACCAACACGGATTCTTTGTTCTTCCTCTCACCCCAAGACACAGACCCACCCCCTCCCCCCTTCTCCTCATTAATGTGTTCAACCAAGGAAGGAAAGGATAACAAGCATCCATCAGATTCATCGCCGTGAAGTGTCACACCATTACTAATACAACCTCAACGTGAAAGCATTGAAATACCAGGCAGAGCAAAGACATTTGACGGAGAAAAGACAGACACCATTTATTCCCGGCAAGGTTACAAAAGTTACAGAGTGCAATCATCAGCAAAACTTCACTTAAAGGATCTACAAATGTTCTATATTTTCCATTTATAGATAGAATTCGTACAATAATGTACAATATACTAAACTAAAGATTTCAGTGATCTACGCTATTAAAGTACTTAATACAGCGCCTTGGGACATCCTCCCAAAATGAAAGGCGCTATACAAATGTCATGTTATTGTTGTTCCTGGAATTAGGTAAACAGGATGTGTCCCTCCAGGGAGAGAGAGCGCATTCCACTCCCACAATCTTATCTTTGGGGTTTCCACGTGTAGGTTGGAGACTCTTAAGCAACGGTGATGGGTTTCTGTTGACCAAAAATAACCCGCAACATTAAAGTAATTGCAAGTGTATGTTTCGTGCCGGCAATGCTTAGCAATAGTAAATATGCATCATTCTTATATGGAGAGACATAATGCTTCACTCCACCATATACTGCGCTCGCTATGATATTATTTCCTTTGCTTTCCCCAGTAGCCTCTACTTCTCCAGGAGTCGGTCGGGTTCTTATGCCGGTTTCACAGTCGCTGTAAGTGCTTTTTGCAAGGTGGGAGGGTTGTGTCAAATTATTATTAAATTATTAAGCAAGTTTCCTTACTCCACACGCAGCAGTAAGTAGGAACCCGGTCAATAGCGGATTGGCAGATCGCTTTCCGGGGGTAATAATCCCTCAAAAAATAATTGGAACACTGAATCCACGACTGTTTGTCGGACATTGCTGTGTGCAATTGGCTGCCGCACTTCGCCCAGAAAGATACACAGTCAATCTACTTTACAGTGTGTATATCAAATGCAAGGATTATTATATTATTATTATATTCCGTGAAGCGCTTTGAGACGTCTCGACGACGTGATAAGGCATAGGAACATAGGGATGGGAGGGAGTAGGTCAATCAGTCCCTCGAGCCTGTTCCGCCATTCTACGACTGATGTATAATAATAATCCTTGCATTGACACAGCACCTTATCTGTACCTCAACTCCAATTAGGCACTGTATGAAATGCAGGGATTAATATTATATATGATATTATAATATTATTGTATATTTTATTATATTAGTAGAATAGTATATTATTGTTTTATTATATATTATAATATTATCTTATATTAGTATATTCTTATATATTAGAATATTATTATTATATTATTGTTCTTGTTACAGAGAGAGAAGATGGGGAACTTCCCGGCTAGAAACCTGGCGATCCTGGAGGAGGAGGAGCAGGTGCAGAGGGAGCGGCGGCAGCACAGACGCAGGTGTATCCTCCGCCGCAGGTACCCAGCGCAGCGCGTGTACCGTCCCCGCGTCTCCTACCTCAACATGACGGAGGAGCAGTGTCTGCGGACCCTGAGGCTGGGCCGGGGGCTGGTCACCGAGCTGTGCTCCACCCTCCACTCCGACCTGGAGACCCGCTCGTCCAACGTCACGGCCCTGCCCGTTGCCGTCATCGTGACGGCCGCCCTCAACTTCTACGCCTCGGGCAGCTTCCAGGGCCCCTCTGGCCACCTGGCGGGCATCAGCCAGGTCAGCGCCTCCCACTGCATCCGCAAGGTCACCGACGCCATCTGCTCGCGGGCCGACCGGTACATCCGCTTCCCGCTGTGCCGGGAGGGCGGCGGCGAGGCCCAGCGGGGCTTCGCGGGGATCGCCGGCTTCCCCGGGGTGCGCGGGGCGGTGGAGTGCGCCCACGTGGCCATCCGCACCCCCCACCTCTCGCCCCAGGCCTTCTACAACCGCCGCGGCTTCTACTCGCTCAAGGTGCAGGTGGTGGCAGCCTCCGACAGGACCATCCTGCACGTGGACGCCAGGTGCCCCGGCTCCAGCCGCGATTCCTTCGCCCTGGGCACGTCGGGCCTGCAGAGGGCGTTCGAGGGGGACGGCGGCCCAGGGGACCCGGCCTGCGACGGCTGGCTGCTGGGGGGCCGAGCTTACCCTCTGCGGCCCTGGCTCCTGACTCCCGTGAGGCGCCCGGTCAGCGCAGCCGAGCGCAGGTACAATGAAGC